GGAGCCTTAGAAGTGGTGTGTGTAGCAGAGGACAAAGAGGTTGTGTGTGTCGGAGAGAAGCAACTATTGGCTGCTGGCAGGAAACATTTGAAGGACAACAAGATTTCCATTTCTCTTTCAGTCTGTCTCTCATTTATTAGCATTTCCTTTCATTGAAAACATCCTTTTTGCCTCTGCGCCTCCTCTCTCCTTATTTTTTGGCAAGGGGCATGTGTGTGTGTGTGTGTGTGTCAGCGTGTGGAGGGGTTAGTTTTGTGGTTTGAGTGCTAAGTGAACGTGTCAGTGCCCAGGGCAATCAGTCTCCTCCAGGGGCCAAACTCAGTCACGGGAGCACACAACCTACTGGTGGCACAGACATTGTGCCCTGAGGGTGTGTGTGAGTGTGTGTGTGTGAGTGTAGCCGTGTGTGTCGAGAGTGAGCGATTGTGTGAGTTTCCTGTCCGTCTGAAGATGCTCATGTGAGTGAATTTGCCTTTGTGTGTGTCTGTCTACGTCAGTGTCTTTTGTTTGTACATGTTTGTGCTTGCATCACTGTGGGTTTGTGGGTCCTTTTTCTGTGTGTGTGTGTGTGTGTGCCCTCAGGTCACTTTAACGTTTTGTATTGCCCCCTTGTTGCATGTCCCACCCACACAAATACACGATAATTGGCATGCATAAGCATTTTTGGATAAAATGTAACCCCACACACACAGTCATTTTTGCTGTATCTTTGCCTGCAGGAACCATGAGGACATCTGAACAGTAAACACTAAAAACCCCAGAGCCCCATTCTCATATATTGCTCACATTTGCACGCACTTACTCTTTTTCACACACACACACACACACACGCACACGCACACAGCAAACAGATAATAGCCCATATTCTCAAGTGTGCACAATGTTATACTCTGTTGTGTTTCGGATAATTGTACTCGACCCACTCTAACACTGTCCCTCTCTGTCCATTCTTTAGTCTGACCATCTCTGGTCCTTCATCAGGGCGAATACAAGGAAACACGACGGCTTACATCAGGAGCACACCTTCACTGTCATAGTAAACCCTGCAAAGATATGAGTATCAAACAGTACAAAAAGCATATATGGAGTCAAGTGTAGGATAAATGAAAAAATATATAATACAGTGCATTTATTACCTACAAGGAGTCCAAATAGATACATGTCCAGTGGGCAGCAGGCTAACACTTAAACTGGGATGTCTTTGTCTTGTCAGTGTCTTTGAGTTTAAACATTACAACTGTTTATTTTGACGGTGGACATTAGCCTCATTAGCATCATTAGCTGTGATTAAGTGTTCGCCACACACGTTTGGACTGACTGGGTCCTATTGATTGTGATTTCTGTCCTCTCTGCGGAGGTCCTGAAGACACACATATCTTCTTTTATTGTCCTTTTTTCTAAGGTAAGGTATAGAAAATCGTAACTTTGGATTTTTGTTTGATGTGAAATACACAACACAGCAGCCTGTAGGTATAATTAAACTGTTTTTTCTGCTTGGCGACAATTCGTTGTTTTCACCGGCCGGCATTTGACCAGGCAGTGACGTAGCACTGCTCTCATCAAATGCTGTAGAACCTTTACTCTTGTTTTTATTTGCTTACATTGGATCCAAGTGTTTACAGCCTTCTCCTCCTGTACCTCAGCATTTGCTGTGACTGCACTGCTCTCTTTCTACCGTCTTATTGTGGCTTTCTTTCTGTCCGTCATGGCTGTTATAAGCCAGACTCCCGCTGTCCTGAAGACAAGAGGCAGACGTAATCTGCACCTTGACCTGACAGGGCTAGACAAGACGCTAACACAAGTCTCTGTGATGGATGGGAACACAGAGAGAAAGTTAGATGTGTCTGATGGAGAGGCTGAGAGAGGGAAGCTCCATCTTCTTAAACGTCAATCATTTGTCACGTCAGAAGCGCTTTCAAGTGTTGCTTTGATTTGTCTGTCTGTCTCATCCACCACCCTGTCTTTTCTCTTTCGTAAAGGAGAAGGAAACTGAAGAGGGAGAGTGAGAGGTACAGAAAAGTTACATTTAATTGAATTTCAGTGTCTTTCAGCGGCTGCCATTCTATTGCATTCAACTCAGTATTGATCTCAGTCTTTAGCTCTTATTATTATTATTATTATTATTATTATATTATCTTAATGTAAATAAATGAAATATCACAAGGTTCTCTTACAATTTACATTTGCTGCATTCAGGAAGCTAATTTGTTCTCACACCCTGTTGATGTAGGAAGTGCACCTACTTTGCATTTTATTTTCAGCAGTATTTTAACATTTGAATAGAAATCCAATGCAAATATGCAGTATCTGAATTTTCCTCAAACTGTAAACTCTTTGAGTATGACCTTACTGTGACCCTTACGGGCCGTCTCCACAGCAGCGTTAAAAAAATCTTGGAGGTGGGCGTATCTGAAGCTTGAGGATTTTTTGCGAGCAACCAATCACATGAATCTCCCGCCCGCGACATACGAAGCAAAAAAGCCCGAAGTAAACTGGATATAAACTCCCCAAAACAGGCGAAAACCTACCACTGTCTCTGCCACCTCCCTCCATGCCTGGCTCCTCCGGTTTATATCCCGGTAGGTCTGGTCATAAAGCACCGGGTGATTGATTCGCTACCGCTAATTTCTCCTCCATTTTTTGGAATATGAGGAAATGACCTGCGGTATGTCTCTCCCAGCATACACGCCGTTTGATTGGCTAGAGCTTGAACTGTCAGATTTGCGTACACGGGATTTGATTGGCTGACGCTTCCACCTCAGCTTCAAAAGTTGAACATTGTTCAACTTTGAATCCTCAAAATCCTGAAAATCTCCGCTCTCCTGCCCACAATGCAGTTCGGCGAAAAGTGAGGGAAAGTGACGTCACCCCATTCAAAGTGAATGGGCAGAAGCGTTTCAAGATTTTTTAACGCTGCTGTGGAGACGGCCCGTTACAGTTTGTAATTCATTCTCTGTTTATCCTCTTAAACAAGATGCAATCAAACACCACACAAAAAAAGACCACCATCGTCTGCTGCGCTGTGGGCCTGGGGCTTAATAGAACGTTTTTATCAGGTCACAAAAAGAAATTACTTCGATCATTTTTTAAGCATGAATGTCCACATAATTGAGATGCGCTCAATTTACCTTCTGTAGCTTTGGCCATTTTCCCACTTCTGGTTCAAACGGAAAAGTGTTAATTCTTCTGGTTTGACATTAGCAGCATTGTAAACAGGTCTCAAGGTCTCTTGGTGAAAATGGATCCTGCTATGAGGTAGCGAAAAGTACTGAAGCAGACCGGCCTGTCGGACTCATATATACAATCCATGGTCGCACTAAGCTCATACAGTTTATAATAACCCTCACTGCCAGAAGGGTAGAAAGGTTCAGATTTATAAAAACAAGTTATCCTGGGGACCAATTTCAATAGCTAACAAGCTGGCGAGTGAATGTTAGCTATCTAACAAACTAGCTTGTTAGGTGGATAGCTACTGTAAGCTACCATTTGCTAGCTACTGTAGATTGTTAGAAAGCTAACATTCGCTATATATCTTAGTTAGCTTACTAGCTACCTATCTAACAAGCTAGCTAGCACATTTGAGCTATCTACAGTATCTAGCTTTGGCCGACTTGCTGGCTCTCATGATTTAAGTTATAATTATAATTAATTTCTTAGGGTTAAAATTTGAGTGCGGACATGTCAAATCATTGTTGACATGTGCTTTTTTTTTTTGTAAAGCTCTATTGCATAAGTAAATAGTAAATGAAAAGTCTGGACAACATGTGTCACTGGACAGAAGGCCATAGCAGACACGTATATATTAATATTATCTTTTGTTTTTTTAGATATTGATATTTAATGACCAAATGGACAAAGGCAATCTTCTACAGCTTATTCGCCTTAACAGCAGTGATTTAATGATTTTTTTTGTGACCTTTTATGGTAGCTTCATTTGCACATTTCTTTCACATGTTTACATCATGTGGCAGCCTATTTTAGATATATCTGACGTGGGAGCTGTCATCATGTCATCCAAATACCAGCTCTGCCACATAGCACCGTAAAGATGAAAGCTGCAGGATGTGATCTTATCCCTCATAATCCTTAAAGAAGTGACAACAGCTTGGAGAGAACGTACTGACACGCACAGAGAAAGGGAGATCATTTTGGGAGATGTTATTTCTAACAGACAGCAGTAAAAACAATATCTGAAGGAGGGATTAGAGCATCTGTGTTCCTCTGCTTTGAACCGCTGACAGATAAAAAGATGTTTCTGACACCCGCGGTTGCAAGAGATTGTAATGGATAAACGGAGCCTGCAGTTGTCAGTCTAAATGTTTTTATAGACAGCTTTGATACTTCACTTCTAAAGGCCCCATACAATAAACCATACAGAAGTGAAAAAATGTATATACAGGCTTGGGCAGTAATGGATTACATGTAACAGGATTACGTTATCAATCAAAATACTTGTATTAAACTAAAACTGAGCTTTTTTTGTTTTCTGTTTTATGATTAAAAGACAATATACAAAAACCAGACCAAGACCATAGACTGATATGGTCGACATGGGGTTTATTAGGATATCCATTCAGATAAAACACAAGATGTGCAGTACTTGGGATTCTTTAAAATAATGTTATCCAAAAACCTTACCCTCAGTTGCACGTTTTTTGCATTTTTTTTCTTCCAATATGACAATAATCACGGTGCCTTCACTAAGCAGGAGGATATAGGCCACATCTGAATATTTATTTGGAAGATCGGACAAAAGTTGAACAAATGTTTTGAGTTCTGAGATTTAAGTCAGTAATTCTGAATTTTTTCTTAAATCTGACTTTTTACTCAGAATTGTGATTTTTTTCCCACATAATTCAGATTCTTTTTTAATTAAATGTTGACTTTTTGTCTCCAAAAATATCCACATGTTGCCATAATCTTCGTCAGTACCTCGACACCCACGGCTCCACACACGATAGATTATAATTTCCATTCTTTTTCTGTGTTTTTCCTCTCAGATGGATCGCAGTGAGACGATGTGTCGTTACTGCGGTGTGAGCTACCTCATTTTCCACGAGTTCCACCAGCTCAACAGTCGAGTGGCTCAGCTGGAGGAAGAGCTCCGGGAACAGAGGGGGAGCACCCAGAGAGAGAAGGCCCAGCGAGAGGCACTGGAGCTGGGCAGGCTGGAGTGGGAGAGGGCATGTCACCTGGAAGTCCAGAGACATGTAGAGGAGAAAGTGAAAACCACAAGAGAGGAGTTTGAGGAGAGTCACAGAGACACAGAGAGAGCCATGAGAGAGGAGTTTGAACAAAAGAAGGAGAACATGAAAGAGGATTATCAGAAAATCAACAAGGAAAAAGAGAGGATAGCACTGAGAGACGTAGAGTCGGAGAGGAAGAAGCAAGAGGAGCTGGAGAGGAAGTCTGAGGAGAGGGAGAAAGTTCTGAGTGACGCACTTCAAAAGGCCAATAAAAATGTGGAGGAGCTGAGGAAAAGCTTCCAACAGCTGGAGGAGAGGTGAGGTGTGTGTGTGTGTGTGTTTCCCGTCCCTGGTGAGAAAGGATCTCTAATGCCAGGCTTCATGTGGGCAATTATCCTGTGAGTCATGCTGTTAACACAAAAACACACACACACACACACACACACTCACAGACAAATCAGACATAGATCCCTCTAGCTGGTGTGTGTACATCTCAAACACAGATGTACAATTATTAGGGATCGAATATCGCGATAAATAAATGTCTCAATACCGTCGTGAGACTGACGATCTCTTTTTCAAGGGAGACCTGTCCAACATGGCAGCAAGTAGGTTACAACATGAATAAAACAACAGATAACACAAAAGGACATCGTATTTACAGGGATACATTTACATACCTAGAGACATTGACAAGTACCAACAGTATATTTATATCTCGCCCTGTCAATAAGCCTCACCTTCTTGGCAAAAACTGTATTGTTTTTGAAGTGGTGGAGAGACAATGCACAGTTTTACCCACTGCTGTCACCCATGGCCAAAGCATATCTCTCTGTCCCAGCAACATCAGTACCAAGCAAGAGAGTTTTTTCCACAGCAGGGGATATTGTAAACGCCCAAACATCCCAGCTTCTACCTGGAAATGTGGACATGCTCATATTCCTAAAAGATAACCTTGATGATGCTGAGTGAGCGAGTTAGTGAGTTTGAGTTGAGTTACTTGAAAAACTGAAGTGAAACTTGATTTATTTTATTGCAGGGTCTGATTATTATATTTTTTACACTTTAAAATACTACTATCCTACTAAAATGATGTACAATCAGATTTATTTTTTCAAGTAAAAAAAAATGGCAAGATAACATTTTCCACCAAAACATTTTCAATTTTTCTTTTTTTTCAATATCGCGATAAATATCGTACCGTGGACTTGTTATCGCGATATTATCGTACCGTGAGTTTTTGGTATCGTTACATCCCTAATAGTTATACACTCCACTATCACCTTCAACACCTCCATCATCCATACCTAGAACAAAATAAAGTAGATACATGAGGCTCAGAAAAGGTTTTAAGAAAGTGAGTTCTTTTTAGGAACTAAATCTCAAGTGATTTGACTCGATTTCCGTGAAACAAGACTGTTTTAAAATATGAATAGGTTGTTTACAGGAAACGGCGTCTTTCAGTGAATTGAAACTGCCTTTTTTTTAGCTTATATTTAGTTAAAATGTAACTAAATAAGTTGTTGCTGGTTTCACATTGAATCGGTATCCAGCATGAGACATGAGGGGGCAGACTGTTTTAGTATCAGGATGTGTGGAGGTTTACAATGACGCAAGAAAAAAGATATTGTAGGTAGACTCACATTTATTTTGGCTTGTTTGCAACAGTCTACATGCCAGGTTTAAAAATGATTATAACTCACTCCATCATGCTGTTTGTTCTCTTACACCCTCGAACAATGTGACGGGACTCAATGATGAGTTTAACTACGTGTTTGGACTGAACTGTAATGCTAATTAATGCTGACTTGTCTGTGCTAAGCTGGTTGTCTTTCTGTGAAAACAAATGATCCACTCTAGAAGTAGCCCTTGTTAAAATGACTCACAACAGTAACAGCCTAGAAGCAGTTTTGGCATCATATCATTGATTCTTTTTTATCTGAAAGGCAATAGGTAAATGCAGTGGTAAAACAAAATTATATTTATCTGAGCTTGTCTCCAGTGACATTTTCTTAAAAATCCTTACCATTGGCATCATTTCCAAAATTGAATGCAAAACCAGGTATTTGTATCCATTCTAAGGAAAGTCACCTTGTCTTTGATTGCTATGAATTGCTTTATGATAACAGGTATGGAATAATGTGCAGCGAGGCGGTCAGTCATTCTTCAAACACGGCAAGAGCCCATACATAGTGTTTACTTTCTGTCTGTCTTCTTCTGCTGTTCGCCTTAGTGTTTCCTGATGGATGAAAACCAATGTTTGTTGTCCACAGCTGACGTTAAATTGAGCGGACTTCTTTCTGCGGATTCATATGACCGCATATCGTCCCTTGATTCTCCTTAGCAACGGTCTGCTAGAAAAAAATAGCAGACTTCTGAGTGGTCTAAATTGACCATTATTAAACTAAGCCGTGTACTAATGTGTGATCATTTATTGGCTGATTGGTCTGCTCCATTTCAAATGAATTAGGTGATGGATACTTGGTCATATCAGGTCTAAGACATGGGGACACTTTTTTTCTGAAACTGGCATAACGTCTTCATTATATAATTGTATCTATTTGTCTGTATAGCTGGATCTCCAGGGTAAAAAGTAAAGGACTTATTTCGATTCCCACATCAACGCTGAACAGTGATAGAGACCAGGATACAACAGAGCTGTGTGGCATGTTTTGATATAAAATACTCGGTGCAGTTATTTTCCTTTCGTTCATTATCATGACATCTTTCATTGCCTCTTCTCTCCCCACCTACACATGTTCTGTATCTTAGCTCAATCCAACAGGTTCAGTCATGTTCTCTTCGGCTGTGCAGAGATATTCTTGGGAATGTAAGGCGACACCAGAAATAATCTTATAAACAAGGGTTATATCATCAGGTATCTATTCATCTCAGTACGCTTATTAACGTCAGAGCGGTTTTATATAGCAAAAGCAGAAATGGTGTGTATGTGTGTGCAGCTACCCACCTAAAGTGACACACACACACACACACACACACACACACACACACACGCAAGCCCACAGGTGGTGAAGATTCCTGTTGTTTCACACACATCAACTTTATGTTGGTAATCAAATAGCAGGTGTGTGTTCTCAGACAGCCATCAAAGTCAAAGTTACGTTTCTTGGAAATATGTGGAATACTTGCATGACGCATGCTATGTTTAGCCCAAAATATATAAAGACTTACTTGCTGATATAAAACAATGACACAAAGCTGAATACCTAGTCATTTTGACATTGTTGATAACTTAAAATGATGTTATCTTTACATTTGTATATGTTACTGGCTCGTTCAATACTTTCATGTGTATTTTCTTTTAGATACTCATACTTTTTTTTACCATGGATGTTTACTGATTTTTTAATTTAGATGAACATGTGCTTGCCTCTTTATCTAAAATACCTAAACTACCTTTGCTGTTGTAAAATGTCCCTGCTGCGGGACGAAAGGATAAACAATTTCTCATTCTTAATACATTTCATGCACATAATAATTAAATCATAGTCTGGAAAGTGAAACTAAAGTGCGGAGTGTACTAATAATTCACTATTTAGTAAAGGGAGGGAGGTTTAGGAGACAGCCGTGTTTCCTCCCGTCTCCACACAGCCCCTCTTTCCTTTAATTAGCTCTGTAGCGTATATAAACCGGCCCCCTCGTCTCTTTCTCTACAAGGTAACTTATTGTTCTGCGGCCCACCCCATTTATCAGTCTAGCTCTAATAACCACCAGGAGGAAAAGTGAGAGGAGAAAAGCTCCTGGGTGCACACTGAAGAATCCTACGCCAAATACAAAAAAAACGTAAAATACGAACTTGATATCTTTGTTAAGTACAATAGCAGAGCATATATTGGTGTTGTGTATAATGTGGGTAATATAAAACAATACACAGAGTAACAAATGGCAAATCCTGATTTAAAAGTAGGAATTGGTTCATAGTGGAATATTTGGAGTGGATTTTCTTGTACCATATGTGCAGTATCCTCATATGGCTATAGCTTGGTTTGTGGTTGTGTGTATGTTCGGATGTGTATGGTAGACTGGTGAGCCAATCCACTGTTCTAATGTAAGCTGATTATCTCTCGCCTCTCGACACACACACACACACACACACACACACACACACACACACACACACACACACACACACACACACACGGTTGTTCTCTGGAGCCTTGGGGCCAAGCGAGGGCCAGGAGTTCAAAGTTGGGTCAGAGATAATGATGCACGGCATAGTGATGTGTGAGAGGAGAGCATGGACTGACAGCAGTGGATAAGCTCTCATGCTCTTTCTTTGTGTTATTTGTCTCTCTGTTAATGTTGTCTATTGATTTAAAAAATGTAATTGCATTAATCACAATAATGAGGATTAATCACAAGTTTAAAATACTAGTATTTACTTGTATTTTGGGGGGAGGTAAAACAAATACTCGTGTGGTGTTGTACTAAAAAGCAAGGTGAGAAGGGGAGTCATGTGCAATTAAACCTGATTTTAAAATGTCTCCTGCTGGACAAGTTCAGACATGTGCTGGAGATAAAATGATCTGCTGAGGAAGAGGAGGGGAAACGGAGATAGAGTGAGAAGATTAAAAGACAAATTCACATTATAGTTTCATTATTTGCCGGTCTCATCTTTTTTCAACATTTCGGTATTATCATTGAATTTAATCCAATTTAAATGCAACAGTTTCTCAGAGACTAGCTAACAAAATCATACACAAAAGTAATACAAACTGCTTCACAAAGCAAAAATATAAACAATAAAAGAAAAAACAATAATAACCCCCCCCTCGCTTTTAAAGGCGGTCAGATTCAGGACACACCTTGGATCCTGGCAATGTGTTCCTCTCTTGGAACAGGGAGCATATGTTTTGCAGAGAATAAAAGAGTCCGACTGTTTCATGTTGCACAAAGGAATTTTTCACGTCAGATATATCACGTGTCGTACCCTCTTCATCTCTGTCAGGATTCTGGCAGCAGCTTCTGAATTTTTTTTTTTTAAACTAGGTAGAAACCAGACATCACAATAATCTAACTGACTGGTGATGCGTGTATTCGCTTTTTTTCTCTAGGTCAGCTGTAGATAAAAGGTCTCTTTAGGTCACCGTTTATGACTGCTCCCAGATTCCTGTGCAAAGCAACACCCTGTCTTGATAGTACATCTATTTTATCGCCCATCTCACATGGGTCTAACAGAACAGCTTTTATTTGAATCAATACAGTTCTGGCGCTGCTTCTCCTACACAAGGATACACCTGCTATTGATAAGTGTCAGGATCATTTGTTCATCATTTATATGGTGTTTCATTTCAAG